TCAATTTGTTCATAAAGCATTATTTATAAGAAAGTACGTTTTAATTAAAGCTCATGCTTATTATATTACCGTAAGTCTTAATAAAATCGATGGGTGCACATACTTGGAAAAAAGAGAAAAGTTCCGGCGGACGTCGTTGAAGCTCGAGCTCGACATTTAGATGCATTGGTGCGCGAAAGGAAGAAGGGACGAAGGGAGAGCGATGGGCTGACGTAATTTAACCGTACCTTACATCAGTTTTCGTTCGGTAAAAGGGATGCGTCGTAAACTATCAAAATGTTTTTTATGACAGGAGCTTAGGATATTGTACGTGTTCTGTAACAAGCGAATGATCCAGTGGAGGTAGGCGTCTTTAAACGGTCACGTCCTTCTATAAATCACTTTAATCATTGAACATTGACTTTAACACTAAGAATTAACATTGGAATTTATAGTTACTTCGAACTGTGATTTTCACGATAATGATTCAATCGCTAAAGGTGACACCTTCAATCTTTACTTAATTATATTCAACTTTTTTGACATTGCAAAATAATAGGTATTTATAGATATATTAAAACTCTATGCTTTACGATCATTTGTATTTTGCATTTTTCTCCTTGAAGAGAAACTGCTGGGAATCACTTTTTTATTCTTAAAGGTCAAAGGTGAATTGAATTCTTCGACGTATGGAATGTTAGCTTTGGATGGTTTGACAATTTTTCGCTAATTAACCAATAGAAATAAATTGTAAGATTTATAAACGCTGAGTGATAGTAGGACTTTGATCCCATGTGCTAGATTGACTACATAAATTATTCATTTGGCTTAAACTTTGGTACACATGTCTGTGCGCTCGTATACTATCGTATTCGTTTGTTTCATAAAAGTTTTTGTTATCTATATAATATATAAATAATGAAGAATAATTCTTATATTCATTGCGCTATAGGCATTTATTTTTATATTCTTAATATATTTTTTATATTTTTTATATTTTTTATATTTTTATATACTTTTTATATTCTTCATTGATTTACTAATGTATTAAATATTATTCATATTATTATTAAATCATATATATGTTAAATAAATGCAATGTTTTACATACTTGAAAATGGAAAAAATTTAGTCAAATGAAAATGAAAGGTAAATCGTATTAATTTTCAATTAATATCTCATTATTATAAAATAATTTTATAATTTTATAATTTTACAAGTATTACAATAAATGAAAAATTTGGTGGGACTTATAATGTCGGTGTTTTTATTTTATAATTATGTCTTCTTATGTACTTTATTTACTACTTATACTTTACTAACAATTACTCAAAAACTCCATACTTTAAAAATGCTATTAATTTGCATTAAGGAGTACAATCAATATATGCAAAGTAGCTACAGGAAAGTGAGGAGAAAGTGAATAGCAAATAATTTATAGCAATAATGAGTATATAATTATCCAGTCTACATATTTTCAATAAAATATTTACATTCAGTGCCTGGTTGGATTAATATTATCTATAAGTGAAAGTATTTAACTCACTTCTTTCAGTTATATTATAAAGCCAGTTTTACGGAACAACTTTTCAAAAGTAATAATTAAAGGACTCGTTATGAACAAGACGAACCAGTAAAAAAATCACGCATTACGAATTGAACGAATAACCGATGAGTACAAAGCGACAGCTAAGCATACAGACGTATTTTATTTATGCTACGAGCGAATAGGAAGTGGCTATATAGAGTGATACTGGATAATAAATACATTCGAAACTGGGTGTTATTCTCAATGATTATATATTTCATAATATTTAATTTAATATGTCTCGTTCTTTCTTTATTATTTTTATAAACAAGCCAATAATTCGCAATTCTTATTTTCACTTATTTTGTTCGCGTATCTCTTAAAAAGTATGGCTACAGCGTTATTCTGAAACGCGAAGGGTCGACAACGGTTCAAGAGCGAAGAAAACAATAATGAGCAATCGGAAGTGATCGATGGTCTGCCATGACGTAACGAATTATTGTAGGTCAATAAGAAGACGAAGGAAATAAAGAGGGGCTCGACCGACGCGCGTGCGCTCTTATCTCGCCAACCAAACCTCAATTGCCCTCCCTCCTCCTACTATCGCTTTCGCTTTCTTTTGCGTAGGTGTCGGAGATTCCAGCGGGTAAGATTTCGTTCTTTGGACCTCTTTTTCCTAATCGTACCCCACTTCCAACGTGCTCGCTTACGATAGTGCTCTAAAGCATTGTTTCTTTTGGCTTCCATATCAAGGAAAGTGAGATTAGACTACAATGATATTTGGAATGCAAGTAATCAATTTTTATAGTCGATTATAATGCGCGAAGAAAGATTTTTTCATATAATTGTTTTTCGAGCTTACAAAGCTCGTGTTTTCAAAAACTGATTACTTTTGAAATCGAAATAGTACGCTTATTTAAATAAATACGTGAGTCAGAAAATGTTAACATTATATTAGAATAAGTAGACCCATTTTGCTCCTACATATTTACGATAAAGATTAAATCTCAAAGATATGATGTTATTCGATATTCTGTAGTTATCATTTATCGAATGAATTTTATCAAACATCTATGATAACAATAAGAGTCTATTTAGAATGTGAAATACCTTTACAATTTCATTGCTTTTCATTTAATCTGTTAATGTTCGGAATATTTTATAATTTTTGAAAACAATTTTATAAGTATTAAAAAAAACTACAAAAAATATTTCAACTTCATTCAACGTGCAGTGCCATTATACAATGCGTTTAAATAAATTAGGCAGATCAAAGTTCAAGAGGACAAAAGAATATTTTAATGTGTAAAGTACTTTGAAATCTTTATATTACTGTAATAAAAACACGAAAAGGTTTAAAATAGCTTTTTCTAGAATAGTAAAATTCTATAAGAATGTAAAATAAATAATAATGAACGTAAATTTAGTAGTAATAAAAGTAAATCTTAGTATTTGGTGGAAACAAGAAAGATATTCAAATATATCCTGCACATTATTTTTTCTTGTGTAAATTTCAATCGCAATAATTTTAGCCGCGCGAACATTGGTAAAAAAAGAAATTTATATTAGTCGCGTTTTCATCTATCTTTTTTCTCAATGACTATATAATAAGAAGCTTAAATTTGTGAAGTTAAGTTCTCGACGATTTATTCTTGTACCATTTTGAAGTGACGGAGACAAAAATCAAAAGGTTTATATCTTTGGAGTTTATTTATGTAATTATTCCATATTTAAATTAGTTGCTACTAGAAATTTTTATTTTTAATAACTCAAACTTTTTATGTGTATTAAAGAAATAATAATATTTATAAACCAATATAATATATTAAATTTTATTAAATTCCTTTTTTCTAATATAAGTATGCACAAATAAAGAACTGCATATTTGGTTAAGAACTAAAAACTTTTAATTTGTTTTTATAAAAAGTGGTTATACAAATCAAGTTCATTAAGTTATTAAATAAAGTTTGTAACTTTATATCTTATTATATTTTGCAGAATCTCCCAAATTGTTTACGTAGAAATTTCAGAATTTTCTTTAATTAATAACAATTTGTAAATTCTTTATCTATTAACGTAAGTATCTATATATGTATGCAATGTATATATGTATATATCTATATACGGTTAAATATAAATTTGATTATATAATAAATAAATAATTAATATTCTAATGGAAAATGATATCTAGTTTGCATTATAGAATATTCGATTTACATAATATATATATTTTGTTTGTCAAATGAACATTATTTATATATTTAATTATTTTTGTCATTAAGAAATTAATGTAGATATCACTTGTTTTTAATAAAATAGTTATTGTTGTCGGCAAGAAATTTAATTTCAATTATATCATTATTGATGATTGAACAATCGCTTGAAAAATGTCATTAATTAACATTTTTGTTATCAAAAAGATCAATTAATCCAATTAATAATTGCATAACATCTATTTTAATGTCACGATAAATAAGTTAAGAGTAATATTATTATGAATATTAAGTGATTTACAAGTTTGATGACGATTTAAAAAGTATTAATATGCGCAGATAATAGCAGAACACCGATTTATAAATGTTTATATATTGCTCAAAAAAGACAAATTTTTGCGTTAATTACAGAAATGTAAATAGATTGTCACCTAGGATACGGTTGTAGGTTGTTCAATTTGAATATAATAAGCAATGAGTGCAGGCAATTTTTAACCGGCACAGAGATAGCAAAATACGTGACGACTATCGGTAGACACGACTAATATTATTTTATCGCGTGAGAAATTTTATGGTAATTTTTAACTGTTTAATTTTTAATTGTTAAGAAAATGACAAAAAACTTTCTTCGCTTGCATCGACATTTTATAAGTGCATCTGTGACATTTTTAAATCGTTGTTTGATGAATTTGATTGTACCAAACGAGTCATTATACAATTATTTTTATTTTTATTTTATGGATAAACGTTATTATTTAATGCTTGCTGAGCATTTTTTAACGATAAACGATTGAATAAATAAAAAAGTGTTGTTTTTCTTTAAGTAGTACTGCAAATGGAATAAAAATATGTTAATTTATAATATATAATTTGCTATTAAGTATCAGGTCGAGCTTGGATAAGTTGATAGTGTTGTTTACAAAACTGCGATCATCAATATTAGACAAATATGATCAAAACTCGATGGAAATCTCTTGCGACTGTAAACATTTATTGTATGAAATTGCATATTGACTTGTTAAACTAAAGTCAGATCTAGTGAATTTGAGGAGCAATTTAATGCGGTAAAATACATTTTCACATGAGAAGCTAAAGTCTCCGCATGAATATATTTGACAATAAAGATTCTTCTTCTAGTAATATAGCGTTAAATTTTTACACAACGGGATGACAAAACTACTATTTGTCGGCACAAAAAAGATCGGCTCAAAGTGAATAAAAAATAGCGAGGGGCTATTATCGTAAAATGAAAGATTATCCAAGTACCAGGAAGTTCTTACCTTGAGTGATAACGAGGGCTGCTCCTTGTCGCTCCTCTTGGCCATTTTGGTAGCTTGGATAAGTAGTCCCTCGAAAAAAAAAGCTGTGGGTGCCGGCGGTGGCTGTGCGCTGATTGATACTTAGTCGGCGACTGCGGCTGGGAGCAGCTGCGCGCACGCCCAAAAAAATGGGAGTGACAAGGAGAAAAGACACAAGGGGAGAGAGATAGAATATACGAGCGATCGAGAGAGGAGAAACGGAAACATGCGTCTCTCCTGGAAGCCGCGTACGCAAGTAGAGGCGGCTCGAGCTCTTGTGGCGGGGCGACATACACACCTTCGGATGCGACCTCTTGTCTATCCCTACCCGCGGGGGCCCGATGATGCGCGCGCCGACGGCTTTCCCGCCTAGACGGGACCCTCGCACCAGAGGTTTTTCCTCCGATATTTCTGGGACGTTCGCCGGATGTCAAAGCTCATCTACCGTACCGCACTTCCTAAACAATGAGAGACTAGACCCGTTGTACATGTGTGCGGGAACAAATGGCCAACGATAGCTTCGCGCCTATATGTTTGCAGATTTAGTATACTTTGATCCTCACTAGGCAATGACCATTCTACGCGCTCTAAATTATGCTCTCTCGGTTGAAACTAATTCGTTTACGTAGGGCTGCTACTCTCGTTCTAATATGGAAAGGCGCTAGAGTCGAAATTTATAATTTAATTTTTAAATTAGTTTCTACGTGCAAACATTTTGTCAAATATTAAATAGAGCATTTATACAAGTGTCCACGGCTATACGGCTTAACTTGGTGTATTTATGTAATTGTAACATAAAGGCAAATGCACACATTGCATACATTTTATGTACAAATTTTCAATTATTTTATTTATATAAAAAATTCAGTAGATTTTGTATGTTATTTAGAGTGTTTACGGCATACAATAAATCATCGGTAATAATGACTTTATGTTTTTGTTTACAAACCGTCAAAGGAAATATCTACTAAAATATTTTTAATATAAGGAGAAAAATGATTTTTATGAATCGTGATAAATATAAGGGAGTTTTAAATATGAAATATAGTAAACAAGCTTCTTAATTAGAAATATTACTTATTGCGATTGCATTTTACAAATATTATTTAACTTTGAAGAAAATTGTTTTTTATTACTTCAATATGTGATTAGTATTATATTGAAAAAAATGTATTTGAATAATTATGTAACATTGCTGCAGTTATTTTTATATAACTATTACGTTTCTAAACAGATCATTATAAATCAAATTAAATTCAGTTTTAAAAATAAAAACGTAAACTATTCTTAATTTCTTGCATTTACAAAGTAATATTTATGGTATACTTATTTTTACAAATTTTATTTTATCTTACGGATAAAATTTACGAATTTTCAAAGATTATTGTAATCTATATCATATTTATTTTAAAGTGAGCTAACATTATTTATATTGTAAATGATAATTTTATTTGTAAAAGCTGTTTTTTGCAATATTTTAATTATAAATTTGCAATCGAATATAGAAACTTAGTGACAAAAATGTTAATTTAAAAAGATATTAATATTAATTTTTAAATTACAAAAAATCATGATAAATGACGAAATAACAAAATTCAAAAGAGAATGAACAAGAAAGAGGAGAATATAATTGGTATAAAATGCAGATGAATATTTTAAGTTTATTTAGATTTAATACGATTATTTATATTGTATGTTTGTTGTAAATTTCATCATATATCTACAAATAATCGAATGCTTATTTTTGTTTCATACAATACGAGTACAAAGATTTACAGAAAAAAGATTTTATTATAAATATTCTTTAAATGAAAAATTAAAAAAAAATAAAGGCAATAAGTAAATATAATGCAAAATATTTTTATTTTACTTACAGTCTATTCTTCATTTTATAATTTACCGAACTCCGTTTGCTAATGTAATAGTTGTCATAATTTGACAGTTTTTAAAATATATGTTACGAACATGATTTTAAACATTGATTGACATAAATTATTTATTTTGTAAAAGATAGTCTTTCTTACTGTGCTTACTTTTTGCAAATAATATATAAATTGTTTTATATGATTAAATATTGTTGCTTTAATTACATTTAAAGTAATATTGAATATATTTTCAGAAATTAATTATACCATCATGATTATAAATTATATAAATTATTATAAAGTATTTCGTTAAATTATAAAATATATAGTTAATTTTACATTAACAAAGTGCTAAATTAAATAAAACAAAATATTATAATATAGACGTAGTAGCGTAAAATAAACAAAATTGAAATATGTGGATATAATTGATATAAGAGAATGATTATATTCGTTAAATATAATTATTTAACATTTATATTGAATTTAATATTTATTGGAGAAATGTGAATTTTACTTTAACTTTTTATATAATGTTTACATAAAATATTAGTTAGAATTTTTATTACTTTGTTAGTCCAATATAAAGCGAAAATTTTTTGTATTTATTATATAATGAAATATATATGATTTTACTATGGATATAAAAAGTTACAATAACGCAATGTTTAAATCAGTGTTATTACAAAAATTCTTACAATTACTGTACTTGAACTCTTATTAAAGATTTGATAACAAAGTAACTTAGTAAGCAATACATAAAATCTTAGTGATAATGATATAACGAGTTCATATCTATATAATACTTTTTAAAAAATAAAATAAATATTTATTATTACACTTGAAAAATTAATTATATATTATGTACTATAATTTTTTAAGATATGCAAGCTTTATTTGTAATCTTTTAAATAATTTTATTTAAATACCTTTTCTATATCATTGCTTAAATATATTGCACATTGGATTTGATTCAATTTGATAACATTAAGTAAAAGATAGACAAAATATAAAATCTTATCAGAAATATTGATAATATATTTCTTCATTTCTATAGAATTGATGCACACTAATTTTTAATTGTTTTTCAAACTTTATAAGATATTAAATTTATTATAAATATAAAAAATTTACATTATTTAAATTTTTATGTATTATATCACGTTTATAATTGTTATTGTAAAGTACTACATAAAAATTAACTTGAAACGGGTCTTTTAGTACATAACTTAGTTTTAATGAATTTTTATACTATAGTACAGAATTTATTGTAAATATCCATATTATTTATAAATGAAGATATTTATATTACATATTTTTCAATAATAAAAAAATTAAATGTTTTAATAATAATTAAATGTAAGAAAATGTAATAAGATCTTAGTTTATAAATAAAAAATATTTATATAAATTTCATCTGCAAATGCGATAAATAAAAATATTTCATTAAGGCAATGCTAGTAAAAAGAAAACTAATTAGACAATATGAAAAAAACATACCTACATATAGTTTTCATTAACTATTTTTTGATAAAATAGATTAAATTATTGGATATATGAAAATATAACTAGTAAAAATTAAAAGAATTTTAATAATGAATAAAAATTCTTTACTTATGGCAGGAAAAACTTTTGAACATTATTAACTTATTATATCAAAAGTGTCTGTATAAAATAAAATTTGAATATTTATAATTTAGATATTCTTTAAATGTATTCAATAAATATAACAATAAAATTAAAAACCGTAGGTCAAATGCCAAATGTATCAATTTTGTTGGAATTAAATTTTATGCCCTTTGTATTAAAATATTAATTATTTAATATTGGTTTAAATTGCTTAAAAAATAATACTATTTTCATTATAAAAACATATTTAAATTAATTTTTGGTTAATATGCTTTCATCATGTACAACTAAATTGATATTAAAAATTGTCAAAATAATTATATAATTTAAAGATATTGTATATTGTTTAATAATGTATATTTAAATTTATTATTTACATTTCTTACTAAAATTTACTAAAATTAAAATTTACTACTGTATATACCATTTAATTTTAGAAATACTTAAGCCTTGATATTCTTATTTTCCGTACATGAAAAGCGCACATATCATATACCATAATTATAAATTTCTTATTATATAATTTCATTGAATTATTAAGATATTTTTTTACTCTGTGGTTATATACCTGTCTACTTAAACAAGTTCTTCTATTTATAGATATATAAAAGTTATATTATTTTTTATTTTTATTTTTCTAATTGATAAAAAAAATCATTATTCCACCAAATCGAGTACAGAATTTGATATATTTAATAATAATATTCAAAGATGATGTTTATTTCTGTTTTGAACGTAGATATTTATCAATGGATTATTATTCCACTCGGTAAAAATTTGTCTAACATTTATCTGCATAAATAAAATCTGTGATTATGTTAAAATTAAACTTTTTATCTTATAAATAAATCTTTTTATCGATAAAGATACTGTAATTTTCATTGTATTAATTTGTTATGAAATCAATAATAATTAGGTTTCGCTATTTTGTATGTAATAAAATTATATACATATTTTTATTCAAGAATTAAAATTGTTTTTAAATAAAATAATTTTTAATTTTGATAATCTTATCTAAGACAAAGCCTAATTTTCTTCAGATACATTTTGAATGGTCGTTGAAATGTTGTTTACTTTAAAATTTGTGTTTGTAGTCTTGAAAAACGTCATTAGATATCGTCATTAGATAACGTCCTAAGATTGTTGAAATATAGTTAGCTAAACGAAATAAAATTTTTAAATAAAATCTGTTTAAGAATTATTTACAAACAGTGTTAAAATATAATGTATACTGTTAATCCATTTTCAAACAGATATTCGCTTGTAACATGAATTTAACAATTAAAATAAACTAGAATTCATATGTATTGTTCATAATTATTTAAATTGATTTATCCAAAACTGCCAATGATTAAAAGAAGGAAAATATTTTATAGGCTATCGTACATTTTCAAATCCATATAATAAAGGAGCTATACTTATATTTTATTTCAAAAGATAATAGAAGCTAAGTTTATCACGAGTATGCATTTATAGGACGGAAATGTTTCAATGATTACATTTGTGATATGAGATTGTTAAAATCAAGCTGTTTATATTGTTTATTTAGCCGAAATATTACTCTGATAAATTTTTATATATTTGCAATTTTATAAAGTTCACAATCATTTCTATAAAGGAACTTCAATTATGTCCCTAGCGATGCTTAATATTTTTTTAAAGGTATTCCGTGAAACTTATAACCTTCAGTAATTTAACTAAATAGTTTTTTCAATGCAAGTATATTTTATATGTGAAAGTTGTATTAAAATAAAATATAGTTTTCATAATTTAAAATTTTTATTAAAAACAGAAGTTTCTAAAAACTAAAAGCTTTCCTATTCATTATTATCACAATATGGAAATTATTCAAATACAATTGTTTTTATGTCATGTATAGAGATTATTAATGATTTAGATAACGATGGTGAACTGTACAACACTTTATATTAATAAGGACTCATTATTTGTGTCAATTATCATTGCTCGGTAAAATGTAAGGAATTGCTTAAGATTGCATCTGTACAAAAATGTCATCTAATCTTATTTAAACATTAATAATTTTAGTTTAATAACGTATTAGTAATAATTTAATTATCTACAAAAAATTGAACAAATTCTATTAAATTTCAAGTTTAAATATAAAAATAATTGACATATTTTTAGATTCTTATCCTAAATGAAATATTATAAATAAAGCAATTGTTTTTTTATTATTGGATAATTCTTGTCTCTTGAGCTTCATAAACATAAATTATAGAATAAATATTGAATTCATGTTATTTGAAATTCTTAAAGGCAATAAAAATGATGTTAAAATATGAATAATTTTAATAATTATAAATTATTTCATTATTTATTAAATTAATATTAAATACATATTAAATTTATTTGTAAATTATTGTAAAATATTAAAAATATATACAATAAAGTTTTCGGGATAATTGTATTATTATTTAAGTTTAAATTTAAATAACTAAACTATTATTAATATTGAATATATACGACGACGTTTCACAGAAAAATAATCAGAAATATGTGACTCATTTTCAACCTCTTAAAGAATGGATAAATTCTATCATACTATGAATAAATTTCAAGATAATATAATTTCCAATAAAAATAAAATATTTTATTAAGTATTTGTTTTTTTTGTATATCAATATGAAAAATCGTTAAATAAAGATTTATAAACGGATTTTTTCTGTATACTTATAAAAGTAAAATAAAATAGCTAAAAATTTTATATTTTTAAATAAATAAATATATATATATATATATATCTCTTATAGAATAAATAGAGATAACAAAAACTATATCAAATGATTGAATAATAATTTGTTCAAGAAATTTGTTTTAAATATACAAATGGAAAGAAAGATCGTTGAAAAAATATTCCTCGCGTGTATAAAATTCAAGTTGTACATGGGTTGTATTTGATACAGATAATAAATTTTTAGAAAATAATAGATAAATGAAACAATCACTGTACATGGATAAATTACACTTATATAGTCCTTAAAAATGTTAAAATTAAATAGTTTATATAAAGTTTTTCCATTAATAATAGTTTATTTTTTTATATAGTATTCTCAAAAATATTGAATTCTTTTTATAAATATTTTTTTGTCACATGAGTTTTTGTATATTTTCTTTTTAATGTGATGTGATAATGTCGTATTTCATTGTCTGCCAATAGTACTCATGTGAAATTTAATTGTTTTATATTTTTTTGTTGTTGTTGTTGATATTTTAGACGACCTTTCATATCGGTACAGATTATTATTTTTCAATAAAACTGCATATTTTAGTATTTCTATTTTAATTTTGAAATTACTAGTAAGACTTAAAAAAAACTATTAAAACTTAAATTTAATTTTACTCGTCAAATAAATTTTAATTGTATATAAAATTGTAGTACTCACCGCATCCTTATCTTCATGTAGGCGCTTAATATATATAATAAAATATATTAGTAAATTATTCTATTTGAATATTCTATTAGTACATGATTTGTAAATCAAATGAATAATTGATTCAATGAATAATTGTAGAATATTTATAATAATAAAAATGAATCAAACTGTTATAGAAGAAACAAGTTGTGATTAAAAAAATATTTTTATATGTATGAAGTACTATAAGTGTTTGCGTAATAAGTGCATTGAACTTTCTCTTAGAAGAAAAAAAACATATTTTAGCCTTTTCCTATCCGAAAAGTTTTACGTGTCTACATATATAATATTTTTACGTTCAATAAAATTCAACATAACATAAGTATTTTTCACGTATCTTATCGCCTGAGCGTAGAATACACATGCAGCTCTCATGAGTATTTGTTATTTATTGCACATGCATACCTTCTCAGAAGGGGCCAGTGCTGTGGGCGTCGAAGGCTGCTCCTGATTTCCTTCTCTTGACTGCAAACTCGTTTATCAATAAATATTCTTTATAACCATTATTTATCATTTATATGTCTGTATGTAAATGAGCGGTGCTTGCCAGTCGAACGCGAATTCTCCGAAATACAATATCAATCTTTTTTACAATGTTTGTGGGCAAAGCTTATTGTGATTATACTTCATAATACATACATACACACTCAGCTCGAACGAACACACGCGCGCACACACACACACATATATATATATATGCATAAAAACACTGTAGAATTATAGAAATTATGTCTTTATCATTATTAAAATAGTTTTAATTTTAGCAAAAAGTAGTCATTATTTTTAGATAATTTATTGCATGTAAATCCATTCGTTTCTTTTTCTTTGTTATAATAATAAATGCATAATTCGCAAATAGTTTAAGAAGCAATGTAATACAATTATAAAAAAAATATAAATATTTGTTTTTTAATGAAATATATGTATATATCTAATCATTAAAAAATTTTTTAATTACATTGTAGGCACATATTTATTTATGTGTGTGTAGAAATAGAATTCAATCAATTTTTTTTTTAAACTGAAATATCTTTTCTATCATTTTAATGTAATATATTAATTTTTTTCGTATAAAATAAGTTTTTATTTAAACACATTAAAACATTGTCATTTATGTGTTTTAGAAGAAAGTTTTCTGTTTCATGTGAACTCTAAGAATTATATTAAAATACAGAGAATCACTAATTTTTTAAGAATTTACAAAATAGTGTTGCATTATTTAATTTCTTTATAAAAAATGAATTCAAAGGCATTTAGAAGTTTATAAGCAATATAAAACATTTGTTATATAAATCGTTTTATTTCGTGGCATTCGATCGATGATACTGATAATGCAATTTATATTATAGATTTTCAATAGTTGTATTAAATAAATTACCTTTTCCGTATCCATTTTTCTGCATGAAAAAAAAATCAGAAGAACATATTAATTTAATATTTATATTATACGCACGTGCGCTGGCACACACACACACACACACGCGCGCGCGCGCGCGCGCACACGCACACACACACACCTACACTATTAGACAAAATATTAATGTTAATGCAACTTATACATAATATCAAATAAAATATAAATAATTAATGAATATTAATCTCTGTAATAGATTTACTATATATATATATATATATATATATATATATATGGTTTTATTAATTTATGCAAACATTGCCAAATATACACACACTGACTATTCAAGATTTTCGCGAATGCTGGAGTATTATGGAGAATTATGACAAATATTCATCAAGAACACTTGATTGACGGGTGGTAAAGCCAAGGTTTTATATAACAGTAACTTTTAATACTAATGTAAATTTAATTTTTGTTATAAGATATTTGTGTTATATTTATTGTAGAACATACCAAAAATAAATTTAAGATAGAATCGGATAAAATGTTAAGATTTACTATATTCCAAGTACTGCATAATAATAACTTAATTTTTTTTATTTAGATAAAGTAAAATTTAGATTCAAAAATACTTATATAAAAGTATTTACATATAATAGAATTAATATTTGAATAAATTTTACATTGTATCAATGATTCATTATTAAAAATTTTAATTTGTTTTTTTATAAATTGGATTAATGATCTGGTTTAAATATTATTATACGTAATTGTTTGATTGCATTATACGTTAAGGATCGCACAAGATATATAAAAATATAAGATAATATCAACTTCAATTACTTCTTAGATTGTCGTAAAAAAATATTTCAAAAACTGTATATATATATTTTTTTATAATATTATTTATCTGCTCATTTACAAATTTTGTATTAAAAAATATAAATAAAAAACACGAATCTTTATTTTATTATATTATATTTGATTAGTTTATTATATTTCATATATTTATATTAAATTTAACAGGTGCTGGTTTTTTATTATGAGAAATTTAATCTATAAGAGGTTATTCATAATCACATTCGTGGTTATATTCAATAGAATATCTATATACCATAATTATAAAAATATATATTACTAATCAAACTATATTATAGTTTGTATATTTTAAAGAAGATATATGAGTTGAACTATATTCGATGTATTCATATTATTGACTAAATCATGTAATAATTATTCTTTATTAGTTATATACTTACTTAAATTTATTAAAATTTTATTAAATTATATTTACGAACGATTTTACTTTTGAATTGATTTCTGTCTAAATAATATTACCAAATTAATTATTGAATTTCGTTTTATATACGTTTATTTCGATATGGAAATAAAATAATTTATTAGAAATAAATTAAAGATATAATATTAAAAATATATTAGATATATAATTTATTTAATTTATAATTTATATATAATTTGATGTTATCAATAGATTTATATAGCTACTATTTTTATTTCGTTGAAAAAGGGAATTGAAGATATATTTAATATTATACTTTATAAAAGATAAAATTGAATCATATTTATTTAGAATTTAAAAAACATACATTTACGATTTCATATGAGAAATATCACGATAGATGCATTGTACATTGAATGCGTAAATATAACCATATTCTTTATATTATAAAATTCAAGATATATATTGATAATATAATAGCTTAATAATGGCAATTATTTTACACTGATTATATATATAATAGTATTATAATTTAATAATATAAATGTAAATGAAACTATTTTTTGTACCGTGTATAGTCTGAAAAAGTAATAAAATTAATTAGTTCCTAAAATTTTCTATAGGTAATAAGTTGAAAAATATATTTTTTTAAAATTTGCAAAATGTATACTTGCAAAAATATATAAATATAGATGAACTTAATTATATATATACATATATATATATATATATATATTATATTATTATATTTATATATAAATATATAAATTATATATATATATATATATATATATTTAATTTTTAATAAGACACCGCACAGCCAAGTGATGTGGAAGCATGCGCATCTGGAGAAACCGAAATAAGGGTCACATGAAGGTCAAAGACACCAGCCGACTCTTGCGACGTGTGGAAATACATGTAGGAGGTTCGAGAGGTGTTTCACCCTCCTATGAGTATGATTAGCCCATGATCTTCCGACGATGCTTATGCGGGTTTAAAATACGAGCCTTTACTTTTTTAATTGTTTGACGCAACTGTTCATCTATTATCAACTACGTAATCGAATCATATAATTATCCGTATCAGATGCTTGGAACTGTTTATTCTTCCTGTTTTCACTTTACGTGGCAATAAATTGCTGAGTCAACGATTAGATTATGCGACTTACGACATTTTTACGAGACTGTGAGAACATGCAATTTTATTATTTATTGTTTCAATTTAAATTTGATACTTTTTTTATAATTTATATCGTTTGTCAGAAAATTCCAATGTTATCTACAATTTCATAAATTTTTTTATCATTTAAATGAATTCCATATTCTTATATATATGGTATCGAACATCTATAATTAAATATATTATTGATATATAAACTAAAAGGTAGAAAAAATTTTATGCACATTCTAATATATTTTTAATCTTTAAGCAAAATGACAACTTTAAAAATTTACTTTTGAAAAATTTCAAATTCATTCGTTTTGAATTATAATTTTTGAATAATTTTTTAATACAATTTTTAATTCAATCTAATTTTAATAAAATATAATTTGTATTTTATCTAAACATATAATAAATCGTTACTATTTTTTTGTGGGTGATATTTTATACCTATATTATATATTATTTATATGATAATTATATAAAATATAAAATGAATATATCGAATTCTTAAAAAAAATTAATTTCTATATTTAAGTTATTTTTAAATTTATTTTATATATTTAAGTATTTAACTAAGTATATTTATCCTCTTGCAAGAATTTAACGATAATTTATTAAAAGAACTTTAATTAATTTATTTTTCAAATTTTAAAAAATGTAAATATTTTTACACATGTCATGTTTTTTAAGTGATTTATTTAAATTCATTATCTATTTTAATTGCAATTATAATTAAAAAAAAATATAATTTTATCTATTAATTTTCATAATAACTTCATTATATTTGCATCTAACCTTATTTTTTGTTCAATGTACGCCTTGGCTCATCGAAAAATCCATCACATACGAAGCGCAGTCATATTAATTAACGAAGTATCCGTATAAGCATCGATTTAAACTAAGTACACATACGCATGCGAATAACACTTACATGACCGAACGAAAATAGCGAATCTTATCACCAACGCGTATTTCTGGTATACTTCTCTCGTTACATTTAATTATTCGTAACTTATCCTCACTAATTCTCGTACTACTGATGTCACTACCTTTCACAATAATACCATAAAATTCGGTAGGTATAAATCCGTAATATCAGTCAAAAATTCTCATAAAGCGTATTTCTCAGAATTGTAGATTTGAGGAGATGAAAATAAGGACAAACTTACCCTATGTATTGCTTAAGTTGTGGCGTATCTGTATCAAAGTCGTTTTCTACACTGTCAAAGTTTCGATTTACTTCCTTGGCTTGACGCACACCCCCTTATTCTTTTATATATATCTATATATGCGCAGGCGCTGCATCTTGGCAGCCGTTGTGGCGCCACTGCCGATGGTTTTTTTTCAACCCCTCTGATTTTATGCGCACATTTATAGTTATAAGCTCTAGCAACGTATAGTGTACAATTGTGCCAACCGTAAGGTACTCGCAACCATTCTTTAAACATTGTTTCATATTAAAGTTATATTTGGAGTTTTATCGACGGTTGTTCACGAAGGCATCAACGTTTAATTATATTTAAATTTTAGATTTATATAATTTTATAATCATACTGCATGAAAAACAGTGGATGATAATTTTAAGAACTTTTTATGTTTTGATAAAAGATATGAGATGATACGTTAATTATAAAAATAATTTCTTTTCCATGATAAAAATATATTTAATAATTTAAAATATTGCTCAAAACATTGAAAACATTTTGATTGAAGTTATTTAAATTTAATTAATTAAAGTTAGTTGTACAAAGAAGTTTTGGAGTTATTCTCGATATAAGTTTTGTAATGTTAGTTCTATAAATAGTTTGGTTGTGTCAACAAACATTTATGGTTCATAAATAATATTTAATTTATTAATATAATAAAATATTTGCAAAGATTATTAAATTAATGAGAGCAATTTTATAAAATATTAGTTATGAATTACAAATTTCTACGTAAACTTAGTTCATAGTACGTTCGTAAACAATACCCTATATTTTTGTATTTTTAAAAAATATAAAAAAAAATTTATTGCTTTTCTAAACTTTGCTTTCAAAATTATACCGTATTATAAAATATAAATGTGCTTTACATTCGAAAATAGGTTTTACAAATTTTAGATTCACAGATACTTATTATTTTAATATCTAAAATCTAAAAATAGAAAAATTGTAATTTTGATTAAAATAAGCTAAAATTAATTTAAATAGTCTTCATTAATTTTATAAAATTACCTTGCCATAATAAGCTTTTTCCATGAAATTGATATCATAAAAGAAAATATATATATGAATACGCAAAGTATATATATTACTTTATAAATAATAAAAACATAATTTATTTAAAAACATTGATGTTATATATTATTTAATATTTTTAATTATAAAATAAATATTAATTTAAAAATGATGTCTAACTTATTGTGAAGTACATGTTCTTTTAAAAATAAAAAATTTAGAAAGATAAAATTATATTTGTCAAATTAAATTTATCATTATTGACATTTTAAATTGATTCCTTTTTAATATATGAAATGTAGAAGGACATTAAAAATAAGTTGAATTTTTTGGTTTTTAATCTATTACGACATAAAAAGAGTTTTTAAATAAGAGAAAAATAAAGGACAATAGAAAAACCAAATTTATTATTCATTGTTTTCTGAAATAGTTATTAATATCAATTTTTCCGAGTCAAAATAAAAACAAAATGATTAGATAAGACATTTAAACCTGTAAAAGTAAAAAATATTTTATATGTTTAGTCTAAAATTGCAAGTGGGAAATTTATTTATAATTCAAATGTTAAAGGTTTATAGTGATGTATTAATGAAACTTATTATAAAACTTATAAAGAGTTATTTTTTAAGTTAAACTGAAAATCTGAAGGACAATTTATTAATATTCTATTAAACTTTTTAATAACTAGTGTTGCAGTATGATTTGAGAAGAAAACCAGCTAATAATAACTAATAGGAAATTTCTATTGGAAGCTTTTCATTTGAGTAAATTTAAAAGTAAATATTATAGTATAAATATAATTTATTTTTAATGAATAATTCGATAATTATAAAAAGAATATTTTTTATAATAATTAGTAATGAATTGAAAATTTTGCATATGTATGTTGAAAGATTAATATTATTATTTTTTTATTATAATTTTGAAGTTTTTACATTTTTATATAAATCATTATTATAAGTTTAAATAATTATTCTAATTTAAAAAATTTTTATTTCTACTATTTTTCTATTTTCAGTACCATACTTACATGTTTTTTTGGAAATATTCCATTTAGAGAACTAAATGCCGATAAATAAGATTCTTATACGAGGAACTTTCACATATTACAGTTGTTCGTTTTCTCTTAAACTATTCACAATGATTTAAATATTAATTTATGGTTCTTTACGAGAAAATTTTTTTAATTTCTTTTTTTTGCAAATTTGTTTATGTATAGAGCTATACAAAAATTTTATAGTATTTGATAGAATTTAAGTATTTTTCTAACGACGTCTAATGACGTATTAATTATAAAAATCTTTTATTTATTATGTATTTATGTTAGTATATGCTTTTAATAAAATTTAATAATTGACATATATAATTTAATTAATTAATATTTATTATTTACTTTTTTTCATATAAATTTAGAAATGTTTGTTTTTATTATTTTTGTTGACTATTTTTGTTGTACAGAAAATAAATCAAACGCATTGAATTCTTGATATTAATTCCTGTTACTTTGATGTTGATCATAACATTAGTACTTGTGGTAATTTATAGATTAGCTTATTTATTATTTATACTAGAAATTTATGGACATAACTAATTATATATCACTATTATTTAGTGATTTATTATTATTAAAAATTTATTATTATTTTAGTATATACATTAATTTTTAATCGAATTAAAATTTGTAGTTTATAATATAATAACTATTTTAATATATACAGTTTATGTAAAAATTATTGTAAATTATAAAGTTTTTAATAACATAAATATATTACTTATCTTAAGATATAAAAATGTAAGCAGAAGGTAACACTAACAGTTGAAAGTTAAGTCAATATAAAAGTGTACATTGACCTTCTATTTGAAAATCTTGTTTTTACTTTACAATATACATAATCTCAGATAAAGATTAAAAATTTTGATTAAAGTATTATTTTCACAAATAAATTATTTGATGAAAGTTTATCTGCATGTGTAATTACGAAGTATGTAAATAATGTACGGAATAAAGTTGTTTATACACAAAGTTATTTTCTATAATCATAAATGTTACTCTAAATATAGTTTTTAATTGCAATATCACTTGGTTAAGCAAATAGAATTTTTTAATACGTTAAGGTGATTACAGCGATCCATTTACTTATTGATTTTCAAGAAGATTGTCAGTATTGGAAAATTATACGTAATCGAAGCTTGTCTGAATATAAAAATGATTTTATGTTTATAAAATTATTATATTAATTATAAAATTATGTTTTATTATACAATTTTTCAATTAATATGTTTGGTGTTATTTATTAATAAAGCAATTTGATGATTTTTATATTTATAAATATTTATATATATATATATATATATATATATCTATAGTAGCTTATTTTAAAGTTTTTACTTTTCATTGTTTATAGTTATCAATTGTTTAATTTACATCTACATTAATCATAGTTTTTTATTTATTTTTTAAATGAAATAATTGTATATAGAAATAATTAATATAATAATATTTCATATGGTAATATAAATAAAATATACTAAAACTGCTTGTCAGTAATTAAACGAGTATTTTCTTTTTAAAAACTTATTTTAATTAAACGCATAAATGTTTTTGGTATTTTTAACAATATTTTTGTATTATTATATCTTTCTAATTCTAATTTTGATTTAAACATTGTCTAATATTTAAAACCTAATAAATATGGATATGTTTCATCAATAATTTTAATAATAAAATAATATTGAAAACTTGTACATTTTGATAAATAAATATTGAAGTATTTAAAAATTTCCAATATACATAAGTTATATTAATTAATTATCATTTAATTTCAGGAACGTAACTATTTTAATATGGTAATTACTTTAACATTAAATAATTTACGGCAACATTATTTTTTTTTTTAATTTAAAATGATATATAATAACGCATAATTCCATGAACTATTAACATTTTATTATAGATTTTAGTGTCAATGACATTTAAGTAACCAAATATAACATCAAATACCTTATTTGTACAATGAATTTTTCATTTTGTCATACCTTTGCATTATATGCAGTGTTTTCATTGAAAACTAAAAACTATTATCAATATAAATAAATCGGTTTAATTGTTTTGATCTTATTTTAGTTGATCAATTGAGTGTGTAATTTCGATCATATATGATACAACTAATGGAAACATATATGGTATAACTATTTTGTTGATTGAGTCTCGAAGAATGAGTTCGAGCCCGCGGAATGTTGACCAATGAGAATATGTTGTCTTCTACTCTCAGAATCCTTTGAATTGGTGTAACCTTGAGAGGCATGTGTATTTTCGATAATAAAAGAAACTTTGTAATGCCAGTATTTAATATGGAGTAGAGACACAAATTTATGTATAGTATAGTTAGACGGGTGAGTAGTAGGAAGCTGGAGTATGAATGGAGTATAAAAGGAAAATTATTAAAATTTGTAATATATGTAAGTTGAATTGAGCTTATTAGCTATTAATCTTACCTCTTTATATTTTTTAATTGTGCATTGCTAGAAATATATAATAATTTTTAAGCAAAAACATTGAGTTGTGTATAGTTTTATGTAATTCAACGTAAGGTATTCCGTTCCTTTTAAAAAATAATAGACAATTGAGATTTCAATGCACACCAAATCCATATAATATATTTCTCTAATAATACACAAAAATGTGCAAAAAATTATTTAATAATTTTAAAATAGGATTATAAAAAATCTATATATTAATAAAAATGATTACTGCTTTATAATAATCGTAAGACCACCTAATATTTATTTTTACTTCTTTTATTCAATATTATGAATACAATTGAACTACAAATTATGTTGTAATTGCTCTTTCTAATTTTATATACTCATATAGGATTCAATAATATCATGGACTCGTATATATATATGTATAGATACGATTTTGTTAAATATTATTTTTATCTTTTGTAATATTAATTTTAATATATTTTTAATATTATAGTATATCTTATGTGCAT